CGCCTGCGATGCTCGGGCAGGTGCCTGCGGCTCGGCTCGTGCTTCCAGCCGGGGTCTTCCCTCTCCCGGTGGCCGGCTCGCTCCTCCCTGAGCCGTCTGTCGGGCGACCTCTCCCTCCGCCGGTCGGACGACTTGGCCCGCCGGTCGAGGGAACTCTCTCTTCTGCGATCGGGCGACCTCCTCGGCTCCGTGAGTCTCTCCAACGACCGCCGCCGCCGGCTGGGTGACCGCTCTCTGCGCCTCTCGGGGGAGAGGTCTCTCCTCCTCTCATGTCGCTCCCGCCTCTCCAAAGTGTTGTCAGCACTCCTTGTCCCTTCCCTCCGCTTTTCGGGAGACCTCCTCTTCTGCCCGTTCACCACCGCCCTCTCCGGCTGCCTCTCGTGCCTCCTCTCCGGCGACCTCTCCGTCCTCCTGCCTGGCACGTGGTCGTTGGTTTTAGAAGTCCCATTCCAAGTGTGGTGTTCATTGGGATGTCTGCTAAACTCTCTGCTGCCTTTTAGGTCTCTAACGTAAGTCCGCTTGTCCCCATGTTGTGATGATTTGTGAAGGTCTGGTGGATAACTGGACTCCGATGATGGGTGCTGCCGTCGGTCGGATGGCACAGGTTTCATTTCCGATACATTTTGTGAACCTGTGGCGGGACTGTTCCTGTCACTGCTGGGGTCTGAAAGAAAATAACAGCAAAGCGTTTGGTACCGATGCCTTCCGCGGCGCCGTGACACCACTTATCACTCTTCAGACTTCATTAGTGACAAAAACAAACAACTGTTAAAGCAGTCAGCGAAGGCTAACCGAAGCTTTTGTTAATTTAACTGTGAACAATGAGAGTTACAGGTTAGTACTGGTGCTGCTCTGTTCATTAGCCGTGTTTTGGTCCGAGCTGATATCATCTTTATGCTCTTCTTGTCATGGGGTATTTTACATTTCCCCCAAGCCCAATTCATAATGTTTCGTTTACACTACTTTCTTTCCAGTGTGTGTGTGGGGGGAAATAGGAGTTCGGGTTGTTGGCTGGTTTTTTAACAGTTTCCAATAAAGAGGGCCTTTTAGGAAATGATATTTTAAGTCTTTTGAAAGAACTGCCTTCCAGGTGTGGGAGGCCTTGTTTCAAATAGCAGAAAATGTACAGAAAATAGAATTGATTATTAAGTTTTCACCTTGTAAAATAACATTTTGAAGGTGTGAGAATTAGACTGTAATCATGCAATTTTCATTTCGTTTGAGACATTACTTAATCTCACTTAGTTCTACCACGTTACGTAAAGTCCTAGGGTAGATTTTGGTTTTGCCACAATGATTCGAACAACGATGACAAAAGTTATGATTTTTTTAATATCAAAGCAATGGAAAGATACTGTAATATGTAGGATGGCTTTGATTAAAATCTAATCTCCAGGTCGTTACTTTTCAGGTAAAATCCAACTGTGCTACCTCAGTGAGACAAACTGCAAAGCAGAAGGAAAAAAACAACCCCAAAACTAAACCCCAGCCCTGCACTGTAGCCGAGCTACAATTACTCATGTCCTTTGTAATAGATGTTTATGAATGATTCATTATAGACATGGCAAACATTAAAGTAGCTGCGCTCATTTAAAGCGAGCGTTGCTTTTATTTGCTTATTGTTTTCTTTTTTAAAGTAACTTCTGCATGGCAGCTCGGCTGGCGTTGGCTACGCTTCCTGCAGGCTTCCTGCCGCTCGCACCGAGACACCCACCTCGAGGTGGACTGTCCTGATGGCAATGCCTGAAAACCCTCACAGACACTTGTGGGGACAGATTTTTTTTTTTCCCTGCTTTTCTCCTTTTTGTCTTCCCTCCCCCAAAGCCAAACACTCTACATGCCCATTCCTCCTGCCATCACGCAAAGCGTCTCCCATTTGATGGCATTTCCATTCCTTAGCTTGGGAAGGTCGGTGTGTGCATGGGCCATGATTTTGGTGATTTCCAGGTGAAACCCACGTTGTGACTCACGTGTGTGCGTTTTTACTTATTAGCTTTTTCAGGCAGCAGCTGGGGACCGCACTGCTTTTCCATAGCTGTAAGCATGTGGCTTGCAGCAACCTGGCTATCACACAAGGTACAAGCGAGGTTTAAACGTGTCCTGTGGTGTACTTACAATTCGGGGGACGCAGGGTGCTCAGAATGAATTGCTGTACATATAAAATATAGCAAAGCGGAAAGCAATGTGAGGGAATTAGGCCACAGCACAAAAACACCTAATATTGATTTTAGCTACAAACCGTAGTTTGATTATGGCCCATAAGGTAGAAGCAAGACTCCCCGAGCTTGTCATTTCTCATACATGCAGCGATATTAGGAGGTATCATCGCTGAGGAAGGAAGAGCCCAGCACCAAGAAAAGTAAGAGAAAGAGAAAGAGAAAAGTAGAAAATTTAGATTCCCTATAATAAAGATGAAAGAAAGAAAAATCTTCATATTTTATCTTAGAATAAAGAAAGTTTATTTTTCCAGTCAGATTGTCTAGGCTTCACCCAAATATAAGGCTGCAAAGACAGCGGTTGTTATTATCGTGACATAAAGAGACATCTAAGAGGTGATTCAATAACCCAGACAACGAGAGCATCCATTCTAAAAGACAGCTGGAACAGCGACACAGAATGTCATAGAAAAAACATTAACAATCAAACAACAACGAAAAATAAAGTCCACCAGAGACCACAACATTAAAAATAAGTACAAAACTCATTACAAAAATATACAGCCTCATAGAGAAGCACGTTCCAATCGAGTCAGAAAAATATTGGAACTTAACATTATTAGAGGAACCATTTGCGACTGCAGCGAACAGAACGAAGAGAGGAAGGAGTCCCAAATGTTACAAGGATATTCTTTACAGTAGTGCAACCCCTGTATATTAAATCCTTGCTTGGAGAATGAACGTTTAGTGGTTTAGTATTAGCCAAAAGAAAATTGGTGGTGGATTTCCATCCTCAGTGCAACAGACATATGCTTTGAGAAGTGAAGCACTTAATTTACAGGGTATTTATGCAGTCTAGCATATGATACAGTACTGTACATCCAAAGGAGTATAGGAAAAGACAAAAGTAGAAAGAACATTACAGAATTTCAGTGCCATCATTGAACCTTCTGGTGTGCTATTTATATTACAGAAGTGTAAACCCACAACTTCCCTTCCATATTGTTAAACACTTCAATTGTTTGTTGGTTATACTCTGAATTGGTCATTTTCAGTTAAATAATGAGCAGAGTGAGCAGAAACTCTCAAACATGGTACAGTAAATGAAAAGAAAATCTAGTTCATAAATTGTGCAGAAAGGTTTTGTTTCAGGTTTTGGGACATGGAGTGAATGATAAACACAGAACTTACTGACACAGAAATAACCCAAATATGGGGAGAAAAGTATAAAGGACATCCCTTCAATCATCAGTTTCTATAGAAACCTCAAAGACCTTTGGTTGGGAGTAGCCCTCCATCGAGGGCACAATATTTGACAATTATCTCAAATAAATAAGACATAATTATAATATTAAATAGTGTGCTAAGTTAAGCCACCCAGCAATCCAACCTCCGGGGGAAGAAAAGGAAATCTAATGCAATTCTTAGTAAGAAACAAGGACTGAATGTTTCCCCCAAGATAGACACAAGAGCACCTTTTCATAACCTCCTCACCTTTTCAGACCTTACAAATTAACTAGTTGAAACCAGCAGACAGTTTAAGGGGGGAGAAAAGGGCTCAGGAGGCCAAATCAATATATTTTTGCAGTAAAGCTCTTTTTTTTTTTTCTTCTTTTTCTTAAATAACTTTATAAATATTTACATAAATATTAAGGGAAGGCAAAAATCTCATAAGCCATCTTGGCATTCATGTCTATGGATACAGACAGGAACTAAGAGAAAAACCTAACAAAAAAAAAATATCACTGCTTCAGAATAACTCAGGATCCCAGTTTTTGCATTGATTAGAAGTAGAGACCTATTTGAAACAACAATTCAGCCGCTGAGAAACAGTTTGGCACAGTTCAATGACATTCCTTGTTTGGCTGGAAAAGACAATAAGGGTTTGTTTTGTTTTGTTTTGTTTTCCTCTCTGATCACCAAAAATACTGCTATGATGATCTTGCCTTACACTGCGCCCCAAGTCCATGGAAGCAAGCAAAGGATGAAATGTGTAGAAAATTCAGCACAAGCGAGGCAATTAACCATATGTTGCAAAGGTTGGTAAGACACTGGTGAGAAAGGAAAATAAAAAAGAATTCCTGCTTCAGATCTTGAGACAAATCATTCATGGAGTGATGCCAGGGAAGAAAGGAATGTTTTCATAGTTTGACCCACCATATTCTGGGACAGAGCCATCTCCACGTTTCAGAAACAGGCGGACCCTGCGGCCACCATTTTTAATCAGTTCGATGGCCCGAGCATGCTTCATGTTCTTGGTAGTTTCTCCATTGATCTCTAAGATTTCGTCACCAATCTGCCAATTTAATAAAAGAGTCTAAGATTAGAAACCAGCCCCTACGAGGGTCACCACCAGCACACCACAAGACAACAGCCACAGCAAAGGTGGAAGAAGAACTATGCATTGGGTGAAGCTAAACACACCCAACCCCTTCCAGTGACAGTCCACAAAAAACAGTATGCAGGGGCCTTGGAGACACGAAGACGATAGTGACAGCTTGAGGTATCAAAATATTTCATTGCTGTTCTGTAAAACCACCTTGCATTACTGTATTGCTCAGTACCTAGAGCTGTGTTAGAACTGGTGTTATTTTATTTTGATTCTTTGTAAAATCTTTGGTCAAAGTAGTTGGTTGTTTTACAGTCTGCTGTAACTGGGATGTTCAAATAGCTTTTTCAGGTCCGTTTCTCACTTGAGTATAGATATACACTATGAACAAGTAAACCTGCTTTTGTAAATATAATCATTTATCAGGATAGTAAAACTGGGCTTGGAAGAGCTGTCAAAGCATTGACTTCCACACGACAGCACTGATTTATTTTCATCAGCAAAAACTTTGGACCTATAAATCTACTCTTAGCAAAAGATTTTTGAAAATGTCCTTCACATGATAGATCTGGAGAACAAAAAGACACATGCTGTAAAGTTATCATGCATTCTCTAACAGAGGAGCAAGTAGTACATAAAACTTGGCAATTTATTTTTTTCTGTAGGTATTTTATAACATATGCCCTTGTTATAATGTTTATAATTTACCTGATATGTGAAGCTAATGGTTAATACTAACCAGTTAATACTAACCAAAAACTACATTATAATTTTGTGATCCGGGGTCGATACACACACTCCCTCACCACTCTGCCCACTAGCAGAGGAAGGGATCAGGTGGGACACCCCAATTCTCTACTCACGGCTGCAGCTTTAAAGGAGCTGATAAAGATTGTGGCTATTACATTTTCATTGCTACATGTATTATTCTGAGGCTTTAAAAGTCAGATTATGCATTAGACTTTGGAAACGTGGGTTGGAACAAGGGCGCGAAATCTTCCAATGCACACGCGTTGTTATAGACTGCATACAAGGAATGACAGAAGTCATTGACAGGTAAACAGGAACCATTGCTCCTTTCAGTTAACATTTAATTTTCCTCTTAGCTGGCACAGCAGAAGGCGTGCCTGTAGGAGAGAGGCAGGGAGTCAGCTTATTGCAAAGCAGCATGTTTTTTAAATCTGTTTGTGCATACCCTCATCTTCCCACATCTCTCAGCCGGACCATCCTCAGCTAGCCGCAACACATACAGATCCATATTATACTCCCGGCCACCTCGAAGGCTAAAGCCAAACCCTTTGGCTCCTCTTTCCAGCTCAACAGTGTAAAAATCTTGGTCCTGCTGGAGGCAAAACAACATATATGCAATTGTTAGTGTAAGGGTGAAGTCCCTAATGAAAGAGGTTACTTCTGGGATGGCCAGTGGCAAGGCACGTTAACAGTAAGACAGATAATCTCTCTAATAAGATGCTCTCTGTGAAAGCTGGAACATTCCAGCTATTACTCCTTATTAAGTTTTACTCTCTTTCGTGCTCTGGATTTATCATTTCCACACAACAGTACTTTCTGGAGAGGCCTCTCAAAATATAGAACTCAATAAACAAACACATAAATTATTACTGTTGTAAAAATGTCAGCTTTTTTTTTTCTTTCCTTTTTTTCTCCCTAAAAGTCTTGATGAGAATGTGTTGGAAATGTTTCTCAGCTGAAACAGCAGCAACACATACTAAGAAACTCATCAGCAAATTCCTCTTTCTCCAGCAAACAGACAGGGAGAACAACCTCCCAGTAGGAATTTTCAAGGGAAATATTTGAACACAGCCCTCAAGCAGATTGGAAGCAACAGTCTGTGGTAAACAAAACAATTAGAAAAGTACTCCTTACCTGCGCTGCTTGGGGTGGTTTGAAATCAAACTGGGATTCCTGCTTTGGTTTGGTGTTGTTCCTGCTGTAACGAATGAAAGAAAGAGGGAGAGAGGAAAAATACAGCTCACGGGATGTGAAGATGATCAAGAAGTAGCCAAAGAGAGAGCATGTCAACATGCTCTCCTCAAGAAAAACAATCTGACCTGGTCTCCTGTGGTATTTGCTGAGGAGTATGGGTGGTTGTAATTGTAGCAATTTTTTCTGCATTGGTCAATAAAGTAGCATTGGAGGATTCTGCAAAATAAATTTTTTTTTCATTATGAGGGAAAGACCATTGGCTATTCACTGAAAAAAAAAAAAAAAGAAAAGTTTTGCAAAGGCATTTCACTGGAAAGCATCATTATGTTGGTTTTAAAGAACTTGAGATTGGCTCAAATTTCTTAAATCCAAAAATTAACAGGATAAAATCTAAGCTAAGTCATAGCAACTACGTATATGAAACGGTACAATCAATTGGAAAAACAAAAAAATAAATTGGGAAATCTGGATTAGAAACATCTCTGACCATTAGGCACACTCAGAACAAAGACTGACTTGTGCAGGAAGGGTTGAAGAATGTTTTGTCTGTTGTCTAACAACATGAATTCCAATCACTAAAGTCTCCAAATATGGTAGGTTGGCTGGATTAATTTTATAGCAGCAATAACTATTCCATGGATTATAAATTTATCAGTGCTTCCTCCATCAGAAACTGCAATCTTCGGTAGGATTGAGATGTGGCTTTTATCTAATACCTTGCAAGGTGATATTGACTGTGGCTAAAACCCAAACGTACTGAAATTCATCTTTGAAATACAACCCACCGCTGCCTGAACACTCAAAGCTGCAGGCAGGGACATGTACCAAATGCATCAACAACTCTGGGTACAAAAGGGCTCACCAAGAGAATACAGAGAGCAGGATTAACTCCAAAACTCAATTTATGCCATGGCAAAGAGCTCTCAGTCCGACGTCAGTCTGTGCAAATGCCCTATTTCTCTATGCACAGAAGGACATGCTTCCAGGAGAGGTCCCCACTCCTGCTTCACAAACCTGGGAAGGATGTTGCTGTAGGCACAACTGAAAAGGGACTATCATGCCTTACAGTATGGCATGGCAAAATGGTCCCCTTGTCATTTTGGAGCTTTATCATAGACTTTGATAAGAGCAGAGTTAACCCAGAACTCAAGGCCATGCACCTTGTTTCTTGACTGAATTTCTCTAGTTCCAATCCCACTTAAAAAAAAAAGTCACCATCAGATAACAGCAATGAAAACCGGGTGGAAACATCTGGCTCTCCAACATAAAATTACAAGGCCTTCTACCCTGCCCTTGTTTGCCTCTTAAGCTCCAGGCATCCGGTAATTCATTTTATTGACTATGGAGAAATCTTCCATTACTAAACAGAGTCCAGCTGTAATACAAAATTGCAGAAATGGGAGGTTTTTTGCCTGAATTAAGGAGCGGTGGTGGTCATGACCTTACTTGGTCCTGGGAACTTATTTTATTTCATGGATTTACTTTAATTGTGGAGAAATCTAGATGAGGTGAAGGTTTTTCCTTTCTGTAGCTAGTGCACATCAAGGGAAACTCGGGAAAAGGGAAAGAAAAACAGATGGGTGCAACGAGAGCACAGCTCCTTTGCCTGCAGCACTGTGCCCACGTTAACATGCCCAAACTCTCAGCATATGGAGCTGTAACATCTTCCAGACCAGAGCTGGCTTGTGTCCAGTGGCTCAGAGAGCAAGAGAGGCTCCTGGGTCTGCCTACATCTCTCTGGGTAGGTAGGACCAAAACATGCCCTCGTGAGAACGTGCTGCTGACAGCTGGCTTGTGTGAGAAGAAGATGTCCCTATGTGTGGTTACACTGTTGGATTTTAAGAAATAATTCTGTGTATTTTGTAAAGATGCTTTGATGCTAAAATTGGTCTCCAACGTAAGAAGGCCCCAAAACAAGGTTAAGTGTTCTGTATTAATCCAGAACAAAAGCCTCTGAAATCCTCCACAAATATCTGGAGATCAGATGAAGATGGGCTTCAAAGAGAATGCAAGATTCCTACCCTTTACTAGGTCACACTAAGAATACCAAGTAGAGCAACAACACATCTTTGGTACAGATGTATCTTCACGCCACTGTACTGCATCTATCTTTAGCCCACTCTATCCCATGAGTCAGGAGTTGTGCATAATTTTGCTAGTTTTTTAGACACAGGTTCAGGACGCATGCCAGCCACCATGCAAAACTGGAACAGAACACAAATATAAGAAAAAATATCTCTAGTAGAACTACAATTGTACTTTCTAAATCCTACATGTTTCACTGATTCCTTGCCCCGTTCTGCCCTAGAACACAAGTCATTAATTAAATGCCTAATCTAAACTTGTCATTTTTCAGCTCTCTGTATCCTTGTATCAGCTGGGAACAAGTTAAACTATTGTCATCTCATTGCAAATACACCTCTGCAATGGTCTATGTCAATGAGTTGGTGTGAGACATTACACAACTAAAACCCTTTGTGTTTTTAATAATGTTAGAAGAGATTAGCAATGTGAGTTTATTGTGAGTCTTGTGATGAGCCTTAGTTTCATATTTATCTGAGAAGCATGGTTTCTGATTTATTCTCCCCCCCCCTTAAGTACACTGTTAGATCGTTTATATTTACCAAAAAAGCATCTCAAAAGAAACAAAAAGAAAAGTACAAATCAAAAGCACCCAAAGACAACAAAATAAAACAACATTGAGACCAATTTCTTAAATCTCATGGGTTTTCGAGCAAACCTCTTGGCAATTTTGAGAGTATCTGGTCTTACTGGCTTTTGGAAATTAAATGCAAGTAGTACTATGCAGAGCTGGCAATCTGTCTTGGAATTTCAAAGGGATGGTAAATAACAAGACTCGAAATCTGCATTGCTACGAGAGAAAAGAGGTGACTCCTTCCCTAAATTACAGCTTTCCACCTTCTCGAGGAATACCTGATGTCAGCCACAGCTACAGATTTCCCTTCTAACCTGAGCAATTTAAGATGGCATTTTGTACACATATTTGCATGAACAAGACTCGGTGAGCATTCAGGTCAGGAGGCTATGTTCCTCTTAAAAAATCTGAAACCATTCAAAAGTTATTTATTTCTTATGTATTTTTGCCCTTTACAAAAAAATTAAAATATTTATTCATTCATTCATTCAAAGATTCACCTTCATTGATTTTGATCAGATACCAAAATACAGGTAACAAACAATTCTTCTCCCAGTTTACCTTCCAAAAACTGGCATGCACAGGCCAGCTCAGATATTAGCCTGATTCACAGCCATTTTATTATTCATGAATAGTCAATTTGCTGGAAGCAGCAAAGGATCATATACCATTTGACCTGGTAGCTACTAAACAGTAGGAAAATAAAGCCTTTATGCAAAACAGATCATCCTAAACAGAAATAATTTATAACCAGACCATTTGTCAACCTGGCCTATTTTTATCCCATAACTAAACATAGCATAATCATGCTCTGTGGGGTAACCAAACCCGTGTTTCAGATTAGAAAATACAAGAATTGGCAACTATGGAATGCTTGTCACTGGAAATCACATCATGTAACTTCTTCATTCTGCTTCACAGATACCAGATTCAATTCAGCCACACTTTCTTAACCTTTCTTTCAAATTTAATCACACTTTCTCCACATTTAACTGAATGCAAATAATGTCCTGTGCAACTCTAAGAAATGCTCATTAGCACTGCATCTGAGCCATCAAATCTTACACCCGTGGATTCAGCTTAAAAAGAGAGCAATGTAAAAGGGTTTCTGCCTAATGAGTTCTCCCTATGAGCCCCTCCATGGCAGAGCAGGACAATGAACAAACAAAATACTTAGAATTTAGAACCACACCAATATCAGTTCTACTACAGATATCTTACATATGTTTCTGCTCTGTTCCTAGTTGGTATCACAGCTAGAAATCAATTTAATGAAACTTATATATAAAATGGATCCTTATTTTTATGAAATAGTTCAATGGCCTGAAACCAGTACCAAGTGTCAGTATATTATTAGGGATCCTGCACGTTCCCTCTGATCTGAAACAATGAGATCCTGTCCAGGGTAACTCTTACAATAATCGCCTGCAAACACATGGCAGCTCCAGAGCCACTGACATTTAACAAAGTCATTTCAAAATGTACTGAGCTCGCTCCCAAAGCAACTTACCCAGAATAAAAACAAATCTTCTTTTCAAACAGCTTAAAACATGACAAAGTGTTTATCCCTTTCTGTGATCTCTTTACGCTCTATCCTGCTTGTGTACATACAAAGCTTCAGGGATCCCACATACTAACAAGTGATTCCTAAATATTCTAAAGCTGCAATATTAACCTAAGAATCAAAACAAAGTGTACTGAGATATGCATCAAATTTACAGAAGATCATTTTAAGGAGATACATGGAAAACATGATAGAATGGAATATTATTTTTTAATGTAGAAACATCACCTCCCTGTTTAAAAAGAAGAACTCCCATTTCTATAGAAAGAAACAAAAAATAAAGCTATGGAAGACTCACAACCTCCCTCACTGCTAATTCCCAAAGCAGGAGTGGAAATTGAGTCCTCCATGACTTTGCAGCTCTGACTGATGCAAAAACCCCGGGAACAAAACCAACAAGAGGGTCAGATAAGACAGCAGGAAACATATACTTTACCATCTCCTGGAATGATGCGCAGGGTAACGGTGTTTCCCGCCTCCTTAATGAGGTTGACGATGTCTGAATGCGACTTGTTGGTGATGGAGCACCCATTCACAGCCAAGATCCGATCGCCTACTTTCAGCTTGCCACAGCGGTCTGCGGGACTCCCTTCAATTATCCGACCTATTTTGTGAGGCATGGCCACACATGCATTTCCCGCTTTTGTATTGGTTTGGGGGTTGTTTTTGTTTTGTTTGGTTTTGGTTTTTAATTGTTTACATACGTGGGAATATGGTGAAGGGGAAAAGGAGAAAAAGGGTTGAAAAGGGAAAGAATTAATTAATGCATCAAGCAAAAGTTATTATAGGATAGCTTTGCTGCCAGTGTTCAAAACATTGGCAATCAACTAGTATGAGTGCACAATACTTCTTTTACAAAAAAATGTTTTGTCAACCACTCGAAACTCCCCCCACCTTGATTTCTGTTATTAATAGTGAGATTTTTATAGGCTACAACTGCACTTAGCAGCCCCATCACAACCCAAGTCTTGATTTTATTTTTGAACAAAAAAATTGAAATTGTTTATAGAAAACACAACCTTCCTCCTCCAAAATTACATCTGTGTCAGCCTCTTTAGTCTTTCTCTAAGTCAACTGCTGTTCAAGCTTCTGCCAATGTTTTGTTCTTTCTCCATTTAGAAAGATAAAATTGTTCTAGGCCTAGGAGGGAGCGCGACTCCCTTACTACCACGAAGATCCAATCTATCAGCGCTGCATGGGGAAGCAACATGAAACGGTTTTCTTCCATCGTAAATAAAGGTACTACCGGGGAAGGTACAGGACCACTACAGATGGGCCAAGACTGACAAAGGTAACGTGTTTGGTGCAGGCAGCCACCTCAGGCTCTGGTAACCCTTCCCCTTTTATGATGCTACATGGCATCAGGATGGGAGCAGGGAAGGAATAAGGACCTTCTCATGTAAATACCTCTAAAACCACACACAAAACCATTGAGATGTCTGACACACAGAGCAAGAGCACTTTAGGATGAATGTGTTTTGGAGACAAAACTTTCCTGTTTCATGCAATTGTTTGTCCCAAAAACACAGGGTCTTCCACAAAATGCAGGATTGGGACACAGGATACACAACTTCACTCGGATAAATCCACTGGGCTTTTGTACGGCTTCCTTACACGGGCAAGAGGCCCACGGGCACGCAGCACGTGATTAAAACCATGAGGTACACAGAGTGGTCATCTCATACTTTGCATCCACAATACATTCACCCTCAAGATGCACTTTCCCATCTGTGCTCTAGTCTTTATTTGATTAGTAGTTTTAGAGATATACATTGCTGCACACACGACAACACTAGAAAGACCATAAAGAAGAAAAGGCTAAGAAAAGGAACGTGAGGTGAGAGAACAAGGTTGGAAAGATGCGATGAAAACTGGCAGAAAGTGTTAATATTAGTTGCAAATGGGGGGGGGATTTTTTTTTTTTTCCTTCTTTTACTATGATGTTAGAAAGTTTCTCTTTCTGGTAATACAAAGCCCCATCCAGTTCAAAGGCTGTTTTGAGGGTTTGTGAAATGAGTTCCTACTCTATCCAATCCACTGGACATAGATGACAGAGCCCACACCAAAGTAACCAAGGAGGGTTTTAGAACCAGTTTGGCCCATCTCTAAATACTACCCATGAAAGAAAAAAAACACCACAAAGCAGGTCCAAAGCAAGCACCACGCAGCAGAGGGAACACGTCTCATGCAGAGTATTAGGAAAAAAGCTGAATATACTTGAAAAAAATTAAAGGAAAAACAGTCACAGATCAACAGATCTCCATGAGGAGCCCCTGCACAGAAAACTTCCAGTTAGTGAGTATCTCAGACTAAAGCAAACACAACTCTTTACAACCTCAGGTCAAGGTTTCTCTGCAGAGAAGAGTTAAAGCATAGTCTTCATACAGTAAAAGTTATTTACACGCATTTGCAAATTCTTTCAGAAGATAAAAGCTCACTCTCTGGTTTAGACTGAGTTCAGTTTACTCTATACTGCATTACACTGTTGTGTTCTGGCACCAAAATACCTCTTCTGGAAGAGCAGTTTTCAGCAGCAAGGACAGTGCGAGGTAGCCTAGCACCCGAGAACTGACAGAACTCGATATACCGGGTCTATTCTAGATATTCTACCCTCGAAATCTCTGCTGCCATGACTGCCCAGAACAATTAGAAATGGCCTGTGCTACATCAATACCAGCAAAGGAGATGATGCTCCCTTCATTTATTAGCACTGGCACTGCTGATGTGCAACAGCAGGACATTTCAGAGAAAAAAGCCTAGGAAAAAATGGGGAAAGGCCATTTCTTGCCACATGCACCTGTGTGTCCCAGGAACATTCAAGCTGTACAGGGAGACTGTGATGTATTTGATCTGCAAACCACAACCCTGCTCGCAGAGGAAGTGTGAAGATGGCCAGGACACTTGTTCCACCTTTCCCTCCCTCCTCCATCCCTATCACATACCACAGACTAACAGGAAGGGAACACCTTCTTTTTCCCTTACAAAGTACAAGTGGATGCTGCCTCTGGCCCTTTTGGAGGAGGTGGCAAGGGAAGAAAATAGCATCTCTGACTGGTTTCCCCCCTGCAATGACATTTCTGCTCTGGAGCAGGCTGTGCTGTGTGCACTTGCAAAACCAGCTTACACACACCTCTTTTGCAGCAACACTTGGAAGCGGGTATCTGCCTAGCAGAAAGGACTGTCTTCAGAAAGAAACCACGACCACTTCTATTAGGGTAGGATATTAAGTGTGCCATCACATCAACTTCATTTCTCCCTACTCTGAAGAAATGGACTTGGGAAGAGGTGGAATGCATCAAAAAACATCCTGGTTTTTTAACAGTATTCTCCATTTTATGTCTCACCAGCAAGCACTATTAATTAAAACTTTCCAGCTATCAGCATGCTCACTCCATAATGAGGATCAGAATAACCCTGATTGCCAAAGAGAAGTTAATCAGTTTAAGCATTACTGCTTTTAAATCAACTGGCTCAATTCCACCATCAGGAGCCATATTTCATTCCACCTGCTCCATCCCCGCATTAGCAAACAGCATCACTGAGGGGATCCCCGGCTGCTCTGCCGAGAGCAAACCCCAGAAAGGCGTCCAGCTAGAAGGGAGAGATGGAGCTTCAGGGAGCATCGGGAATTACCATTGGTGGCATTTTTGCTCTTCAGGTGGGGATTTCTCATTTTGCTTTTCTCAGCGCTGAACAAAACCCAGAAGGCAAACACCTACCAAATCTTGGCCTCCGATTAAGCTATTAATTACATTAATTAGGGCATGCTTACGACTTTTAATTAAACAGATCCCCACTTGCCTCCTTGCACTGCAGCGCTCAAATCTGCGTCTCATTCGAGGCGCGTTGAAAAAACCCCAAGACTTACCGAATGTCGTCCCTGCCTCTGGCCTGCTCACCGACGAGACGATGACGAAGCCAAACCCCTCATTTTCACCGCGGCGGATTTCCACGTCGTAGGGCTGGACCACGGCGCTCACGACACCGCTGCCCCCACCACCACCGCTGCCGATGCCACTGGTGCTGCCGCTGCCCGAGCTGACAGTGTTGAGGGAATTCTGGCTGCCCTGCGGCGTTCGCTTCTCCTCTGTCAGCGAGGCCGGCTGGTTGCTGCTGTGGTGGGAAGAGGCTGGGGATGGGACTTCATTCTCTGCCTTGGGAACTGGGAAGGAAAAAAAAAAAAAGACTGTCTGAGCAGGCTGCACTGTTCAGGGCTTGAAACGTGCCACCCACTGAGAAAAAGGTAAAAAAAGAAAAGCAAATCACCTGCTTTAATCTATAAATAATGGCCACAGTGATCAAGGGCTCTGTCTCCTTTCGGATGTCACCACCAACAGCTCTGTTCGGTGATGGCACTGACCACACATGCTCATCCTCTCCAGTGTATGGTCATGCAGCCGAAGCCTTTTGCTGCTGAACTACAGCAGCAGTACAGTTAAACCAGTGCAGTGCTGCGTGCTCAGATGCTCTGTGGCATTTAAAACCCGGATTACATTAGTTCAGAGGTGCCTCCTTGAGACATCACATCCCCACTTCAGTTATGTATGTGCAACCGTGTATGTGTGCACATGCCAGAAAGACAGTAATATCAAACACCCATCACTCAACGCCTGCGTGTTTTTTAAGTCAATGCTATCAGCTGGGTAGCGCTGATTGCCTTTGATTAATGTGATCTTAAGTAATAATAACCACCCATACTAAAGCAAAACAACGTGTGAACCAAGCTTTTCTGGATGGAAGAACCAGCAATTATCATCTGTACAGTCTGGCACAGTTGGGGGGGGGGACCATTCAACATTATTAACATTAATATTAATATTAAATTAAACAAGTGTTTAACAGCAACTGAAGTCGGAAGTGGTATTAGCTCAAAATCTAATCAGCTACCAAAAGGCTTGAAGAAATCTCAAAAAAATCACTTAGTCCACACTCTGCTCGAGTCAGGGCCAACTATACTTACTGTCAGTCCTGACAGATGTTTGTCTAATCTGCTGTTAAATATCTCCCCAGGCAATCTATTGGTTGCAATATCTAACTTAAATCTTCCCTGCTGCAACATAAGGCTATTATTTCTAGTTCTATCTAGCAGGCATATGGAGAACATATTCCCTTCCTCTTTGCAGCAGCCTCTTATAGTCTTGGGGAGTTTAACACCTCCTCCCCCTTCTCCGCTTTAGGCTAAACAATCCCAATTTGTTCAGTATTTCCTTGCAGACCATGTTTTCTAGAGCTCTCCTTATTCTCTCTGGTCCTCTGGACTCTCTCCAGTTGGGCTCTCTCCAGCTCAAACATGTCTTTCTTGAAGTGCTGGACCATATTGCAGCTAAGCCATCATCTGCTGGGAAATCAGGAGAGTTCCCCCCTGCCTACATCCCAGCAGAGTGTTTTTCTTCACCTGAGCCAACCTCAGGTTAAAGCTTGTGGCCCACAATAGCTTCCACTTCTTGTTACTCAGCCAGTTCTCTACAGTCCATTTGCACGGCTGAGAGCAGCATATTGCACTTGTCTCTACTGAATGGCTGCCTCTGCTAATCAGGTCACTTCTCCAATTCGGTGAATCAAAATTAAGTTGAAGATCTTAAAAGCCACAACAAGAAAATGGATGCCAAACAAGATCTAAACCTGTAAACCCATGATCCAAAGAAAAAGAACTTTAAAATCTTCTTGGATAGAAGTACCTACCTGCACTTATATACTCAAAGTATGTACTAAATATATAGTATTCCATATATTAAGAATACAGAAGTATAAACTTTCCCCTATATGAATCTCAGGACATGGAGTACCCATTTAAGTGAACAATCTTTTTCTGCTGACACATAGATGAGAGGAGGAATAAGGGATCAAAATTCAGGAAGAGGTTTCTCTACAAAGTTATGCTGGAATTGTAAATCCTGCAAATATAAGGTGAAAGAAGGGATCCTGAATAATTTATCCTAGAGTAAGTGTCCACATTTGAAATGATTCAGAAATAGCTCAGTCTGGAGTAACAAGCCCCAGAATGAAATATCAAGGGTTTTTATCAAGACCTCTCATGAATCTAAATCTTTTATGGTCATTTCCAGCCTGGAGGCTGTAAAACTGGACAGAAAATCTACACACCAAAACAATACCAAAATTCAGCTGCCCTTCCCCTTCCTCCCAAAGCTCATCTCCTAAAGATTCTCTCGCATTGGCAGCTCTTTGTAAGGAACGAGAAAGTGGCTATTAGAGGAGAGACATCATCCAGCATTTAATCCACAATTGGAAGAAGAAAAGAAATAAGAAGTGAACATTTATTTAATGTTGTGCAGAAGGAGCTCAGCCCTGGATAAGAATACAGAGCTATTTTAGAGGTATTGCTCTAGTCCTAACTTCTACTGTGGGCCTGATTTTCAACCTCAATGTTATTTTGATGCTCCTTAAGATAAAAGTACGTCACTGCCTATTTTTCTGCTGATGCCTAAACCTGAAAAGCTATATAACATCCTTTCTTTTGAACAAGAGAGCTAAGCTGAATGCCACACTCGAGCTCCCTAAAGGGACTCACAAGCAAAGGCAGCACCCCAGTGTTACTCTCCAATATTATGCATGAGGTCACATGTCATTTAAAAAGCTCATGCTCCTGTCTTCATTTTCTTTGCTATCAGGACATTTTTGTGTCACTAATCTGTGTGCCACCAAGCAGTGTCTCTTCTCTTTGCATGTGTCTTTCTGCCAGCTTCTTTTTTGTCCATTTAGACCATACCCTTGTGCAGAATGTGCACAACGCCTAGCATAACTCAGCACACAGAAACCTCTCTATTACAACAAACATGCTCACCCTGCACTACCAGAACCAATGACACTTACAGTTTTGCATCCTGTGGTTAGTTAACTACATGTTGCAACCTCAGGTGAAGCTCCTCCTGTGCCTAGGACATTGGCCATCACGCGCCAGTGCCCTCACTCACGCTCTGCCCTTGCTTCCCCTCCTGTGGACTCTTCAGCATCTTTTCCCTCACTCCCAGTTTAAGGGTGGCTATCAGGCAGCACAGTTATTTTGGGAATTAAATAGAAAACACAGGCAGTCAGGCACAGTGTCTGTTGCTGCATGAGTCCAACTAAAAATGCTCTGCTGCAACTGAACAGTTCTTTGTCTTAACAGAAACCTTCACAAAGACTGAGGAAGCTGACTGAGATTGAGAGAGTCTTGACTGAAAACAAAATATTCAAAACTTATTTGATCGAGAACAAAAAAGACTAAAAATAGGCAAAAGAGGAAGAATAACACCGCATTCCCTGAGTTTTCCCAGTATTACAAGGAGGAGCTTTTCTTCTTTAAACCGTTTGCTAAACAGATGGAGTCTGGCAAGAAAATCTACCCCTGCAGAGCAACACTGCAGCCTACCTGTGTAAACCACTTTGCGCCTGACGGTCAGATTGACATGACCTTGTTTGGCTGCCTGTTGCATAAGCTGGACGACAAGCTGGTGCGATTTCCCGACAACAGGCGTCCCATCCACGCAGATCAGTTCATCACCCGATCTCAGGCGGCCGTCAGCATCAGCAGCACCCAGCGGTACAATGTGACCGATGTAAATCTGATGAATTAGCACAAATAGGAGAAAGGCAGGAAAGAAAGCAAGAGAAAAAAAAAAAAGGATAAATGAGAACTAGCTCAACAGCCAGCTGGAAACAAGGGGCACTGGTAGTTAGACCCAATTTAGTAGGGAAATTGTTGACAAATGTCTCCTGGTCAGTAAAGTTGTTCCTGTGAAAGCAGCTCCATGTGAATATAGCCACATCATGAAACTGTAATAAATTGACATCTGGTTTCTTTAGGCGGTCCATTCACTCTAAAGACAGATAGCCTTGGGAAATGTGCTCAACCAGTGACCAGAGAGGAAGATGGTTAAAAGCACTGAGGGTCTTGTCAGGGAGGCTGAGATTGAGTTACCCTTTCAGATGCCTCTAGGATTTACAAGCTCGGTACCACTCAACTGTCCACCAACTCAGTCTTGGATTCTCTTCAGTGAGTTCTGTGGGGTTACTCTAACATGAGAAGAATGCATGGCCTCTCTTTCCTTATATGAGCAAAATAATTTTGGCAGGGAAATATGTAGAAATTTATGCTGCCACCATGTAGCTTTGATCTGTGGGGCACATGAAAGACCATGTGTTTTTAGCCTGACATCTTCCACAGGCACTGGATTTATGGTAAAGAATTCAAGGAGGGAATTCAGCAAATAGAAAACCTAACACTCTAAGATCAAAATACTTGCAAATATGACAAGGACATCCTTTCCTCAGCATCCAGCCAATTTCAGACTTACATGTTTTCATTTGGGCTATCACAAAAACAGGGAATAGCAGGAGAAGTCAAAATCTTTTCAGTTACGGAAGTTTGGGGTTGCTTTTTAGCCAGAGGGTGGGAAGGAGTTGCGGGATAAATACTTAGCCCTCTAGTTATTTTAATAGAGATGGCATGGTGCAGTTCTGCACATCTGTACATGCTACTCCTGTGATTCGGGAAGATGATGTGAGTTAAACCAAGACCACTTCTGGATGTACTCACAGGTTCTCCAGGCTCATTTCCACCTAGAATCCTAAATCCAAAACCGGTTTCTTTTCTCCATAGAAAAATATCCTGCTCTTGGTAATCTGGAACTGAAGGGAAAGAAGGAAAACTGTAATTTTTAATCAAACCCCCACACCTTTATACACAAATCAGGACTACTCTGATGTACGTGTAGAGGGATCTGCTGCACAGTTTTACTCTTTAAATGAGGCAGTCTTGAATTTGTAGACATAACTAAGAACATTTATAGATTTAAATACCAAAGGATTATTATTTAATTCACTGCTAAAAATTATATGGTGGTTTCTACTTTCTATGTGTCTAATTGTGACTTGCCATTTGTTTATCACTATAATATTTCCTCCCATCAATATTAGCATCATTACCCAGCGCAAAAGCCTCTTCCAGATCATCAATAAATAAACGTGAACAACAGAGAATCACTGTGCCAGAAACAATACAGCTGCCTCCTCTTTCACGGGAGACAAAAGAGCCACTTGTTGTGACTTAAACTGTTTAATTAACTTTCACAAGCGTAGTTTGCTATCTGTCTACTGACACTGCTTTAAATAACTGTGGGACAGATCCGCAATTGGTGTAAAACAGAAGGGCTTCACTAAAAGCAAAGCAGCTCTCCTGACTTTCACTTGCTCATGTACGGGCTCTGTAAAACCACCAAACAGACACAACCAGCTGGAAACATAAAAAAGCTCAACCTTACCTACTCATTAGTATGGAACACCAGCAAGGTTTTTACAATGAATATTACATACAGTGAAGTACTAACCTTGAAGTGCGGTTGAACAGTAATGTTTTATATTAACTTATTCATGCTTGCTTTCATCCCTTTTTTAAAAATGCAAAATTAATTGCTAACATTAAATCATATCAGAAGACAACTTCAGGTTCATTTAATATTTATTGGTTAGTATCTGTAACATTGACTAATTTTGTAATGGTCCCCTCCCAAAATTTATAATTAATGATAAAAAAAGCTGTTCCTTTACAAGTCAGCTGCCTGTATCTTTGGTAAAGAAACCAAAGCATATCATTCAAGAATGTAATTTAAATAAGTGCATACTCAGATACAGGATGCAACACGTTTAATGAAACATCATCTAGTTTTCTGAATCTATGAGCAGATAAACCAGTTGTTTTCCATCGACATCTGTGAATGTCAGACTGGACTCTAATTGCATTTTATAACTGTGGGTGCCCATTGTGCAAAGGTTTGGGTCTAGTCATCTGGTGCTTTTCAGTGTTAAGACTTCTGGTTAGCTCTGATGCTCTCTCTTCAATGACTCAACAGGTTTAAAATATAATATGAATTTAAGACCTGGGAATACTAAAAACTGAAAGAACAGGTGAGCGCTAGGGCACAGATGTCTGCTTTGACATTTTCCTTCAAAATGGTTTTTTATATATATTTTCACATTTTAATTACTTGCAGTTACAAACTAAGCTTGCTTAAGGCCTGTGCACATTACCTTACTGAACTAGAGGCTTATTTTTGTCTGGATACAATTACAGAATAATCAGGTGATGAACACGCTGGAAGCCCATGTGGTTCATCTGCTCAGGCGAGCTGGCCGAAGGCCACACAGTTGTGTGGCACAACAGCAGAACTTAGACAATGAATTAATTGGTGTTTGTCACTGCCATCAGCGAGGGAAAGCGTGAAGAGCAGACACGTTCAGAAGCATCTCTCCAGCACTTCGCAGGCTTTTTTGGCAAAGGCCGGCCCCAACCAATTAATAGCGCGTGTTGGATCTGTCAGAGGCAAAATGGCTTCTGCAGAGAGCTTCAGTGTGGGCCCATTTCCTCGGCATCTCTCAACACTTTCCCATTTGTCAACTCTCCAGTCTCACTGAACGATGCCTTATGTTCCTGGTTCGGGTACCATTTAGCCAATTAACGGCTGCTGGAGATAACGGCAAGCCAAGGTGTAACCGTGGTGTGAAACCAAAGCAACAAAAAAAGACAAGTCTATACCCAAAGAAGCAAGTTCATTCATGTAACGCTCCTTCCGCTGGAAGGATTACAGAGAGGTGAAACACAGATACAACAAACATACAGATAACAAACATTTACACAGCGAGAGTACCAACCCAGCAAAACTCCTTCTACCGCTTTTTGTGCCAACTCTGCAGTATGGTGATTCACTGGCACGACCCAGAAAACTCCATCCACCTCTGTGCTTCCGTACAGCTGAGGTGGGACCCCTGAGGCTCTCCACTAGAGAATTACTTTAGGTTCTCCGTTACTCAGCAGTGCTTCAGAGGAGCCACTTTCCTTACTTAAAGGGAAAATTTCACAGTGGTGCTGAAACTTTCTTGAAAACAAATGAAAAAAGGCCTCCAGGAGTCATTCATTGCATCTTTGCACCTTGACCTGATCTCAAGCATATCTGACTCTTTCTGAAAGAACACACCCATAGCCCAAATGGGTAAAACTTGCCAGTCTGCTCATCCTGAATTAAACCAGACCATTTGGAGTGCACTGCAAAAGTGGTAAGAAGAGTTCTGCTGGGGCTGTGAGGAGGAATGGAAGGAGAGGTGAGTGCCAGAGCCCTGTCAACGAGCCACACAGGCAGACTGATGAACAAAATGGGAACACGATGCCTCCCCACCGCCGCCTACGAAATCCGCCGCCAGCCAGTACACAGTAAAGCAAGTACTTTGCACCTTCGTGGCTAACCTTGGCGTATCGCCCTGCCAGACTCCCTTGGTGATGAAGAGCCCCCCGCCACACAGCAGCAATGACACCAGAACAAGACATCACAAGACACAGATACATTCTCGGCACAGTCTTACATTCTCCAAAACTGGTGGAATTGATTTCTCTCTCTCTCTCACCCTTGCTCAGTCCAGTTGCAGGCGAAGGTGACATAGCTGTAATATTAATTTTACAATTTTGCAAAGCTTAATGTATCTGCTTTCTTGTTAGTTCATTTAATTAATTTTTGACTGTATGGATCACGTTAGGCTTTCATGCATATAATTGCTAAGGCTATAGCTGCTATGGATTAGGACATACTAACTTTCACATCTATTTGCAAATGCCTCTGTACATATGGATATATAATACACACACACATATGAATTTATACATTTATGCACATGCATGCAGGTATATTTTTGGCAGGAACACTTTTGGTTCCTCAGAGGAAGAATCTCTTTGAGAACACCTTAAAAATACTTTTCTACAAAAAAAATTTCACCATCATGACACAGTTAGTTTTCCAAATGGAAATATCTTTTTCTAATCTCAAATAAATTCTAAATACATGGTGATGAACAATGAACACAGTGCTTAATTAGAGGTCATTTTAATCAAACTTTCCTATGCAAACTTTAACAATTATCTTACATATTATATATAAAAAATTCTGCCCAGTGTGATATCAGTTTCAACAAAAGATGGATTCAAAAATAATCAGCATGAGTTTGCTTTAGTCACTAGCTCATTTGAGGCAGCAGCACTTTCAATGACTCATAGCTTGGCAAAGTACAAAAGTTTTAAGGCCCAGATTCAGCAAAGTATGTAAGGACAAACTTGAAATTGAGAGTGAAGTCTCACTGAAGCTGATGGAGAGTTTTGGTGTTGAAAAGTCCTGTGATTTAGCCATAAATCTCACGAGATTCCATATTTGCAGGAAAGCCCCGTTTTCTAAACTATCCCACTGCAAGAGAATTCCAGTTTTTCTGTCTTTTCCATTTAATCCATCCTTCTGGTGGCCTGAAAAGCTTTTGAAAGACGGCTTCAGCATGTTCTCGACAAGAATATCGACTCCTGCCACTGAGGTTGGGAGAAGGCACGATGCCTCGGCTGAGCCATGGGCCCGGCTGGTGCCAGACAGACATCAGCAAAGCCTGCTCACCAGCCAGCTCCGTCCGCAGCTCAGCAGCCTCTGCGGCTCACGCAACGTGCAGCAAGCACCACGGTCCTTTTTAGCAAGACATCCTCTAAGGGCATGGACACATCTGTGTGCCCAACTGTTTGTCTCCTATTAATATAATAATAGGACATAACCCTACCAAGGGGCTTTTACTAACTATCATCTTTAAAGTCAGTCTGACCAGAAGGGAGCTGCAATTTCCTGAGAGTATTTTTCTTTTGTATTTTAGGAAAAAAGTATCTAATGTTTTCTATCATTGTGCAAATAATTTTAATTCTATGTAATTGCTGGTGAGCGAATACTACATGCTGGGGTCAAGACTTGTTTGTATTATTTTAATTAGATTTGGGGAGAAAAAATCTTACCAAATAAATTATGTGCCTCAAAATAAAATTCAAATATTAACAATAACGTAGAATATTTTAAAAGCTTTAAAAATTATCTATCGTGTTCTGCTTTACTTTTAATTAAATGCTTAAGCCCTTCAAAGGGATTCATTAACACATCTGCAATTCAGATTAATTCATTTTGTCACTGCTGTTTTGACAGATGGCCATATGTAGGATATGGTATTTTGCAAAGCAATCAGGCCACACGAGAAAAATTTGACAACAGATTGCGTTAATCTTTAAGGAAGTTTAATAATACATTGAAAAATAGAAAGCATATTATAAAAATATATTTTCAATAAAACAGTGCAAGATTTCAGAACTGTGGTTCTGTGATAAACTATTCAGTTACTGTTTCTCCGAGTGTTTTTCACGTCTGTCATTCCTGGATCTTGGAACTGCTTCAGTGTTTAAACCTGAAGGGTTTGTCCTTCTCTCTGATTCACACGTATACAACTCCCACCAGCAGCAATGAGTTACCCATAAAGAGGAGCTCAGGCAGCTGAAACTTAGCACCAGCAAAGACTGCATTTATTATCGCCACCAAATGATCGGTTCTCAGACTCACTCAACACAAAGCCAGCTACTCCCAAAAGTCTTAATCCAGCAAAGAATTGAGTCTGGGCCAGATTGCAGCAGAGCATTTGAGCTCAGCCTTAGCCTTAAAGCATCCAAGTCCCTTTGGGTTTACAGCTTGAAAATAAGCTTCCTTGGACGGGAGCCCAAGAACTCAGCACCTTGTACGCCTGATCCCCTCACCCGGGGGAGCTGCATGTGAAGGAACTCTAGCCCCTGTATTTGTTGAATAAAGTTGCAGTTCTCATCTGCTGCCACTCAACCAGAGTCCAGACATAGTTGTGGAGCCATTGCTGAGCTTTCCATTATTAATTCAAGCTTAATTTTTCTTCTTTTTTTTTGTTT